GCCATCTTCCATTCTTTGGACATGATCAAGCCAGCATAGACATTACTGAAACAGAAGTGTGAACATGCTGGGAATGTGGGCTTGGGGGAAAACATATTTGTTTGAGACTCAGTCCTGGAAGGCATTGAGGCATTGCTACTGTCGGGTGTCAGTTGCCTACAACTCACTTCCATAAAGCAGTGTGCTCAATGCTCAAGCCTGGTAGACCTTCGTCTTGCTATTAGTTGTTAGCGTCACATTTTCCCATACCCTTTTGGAGAGGTGAGCCATTGCCCCAGCTGCCTTGCCAATACGCTTGTCCAGCTCAGTGTCAATGGAAAGGTTGCTGGTTATGGTAGATCCCAGGTAGACAAAATAGTTTACCATCTCAAGCGTGTGGTCACCAGTGCTGATGTGTGGAGTGCTTGCAACATCCTGACCCAGGATGTTGGTCTTTGTCAGGCTGATGGTGACGCCAAGCTAGGTGCAGCCTTTTGCAAAACAGTTGATAAGTCTCTGTAGAGTGGTGTCAAGGCTGTGTCATCTGCAGACACCATCTCTCAGATAAGAACCTTCCACACTTTTGTCTTGAACAGACCCCTGTCAATCCTTGAATGGAAGTATGCACCACCTTCAGTCGAGCTGAAGGCATAGGAGAGCAACAGTGAAAAGAATATGCCAAAGAGTGTTGGAGCAAGAACACGGTCCTGTTTCACACGGCTATTTATAGCGAAGGCGTCCAAGGATGAACCTTCATACTGGACGGTGCTGTGCATGTTCTCGTGGAAGGACACAATCATCTTGTGGAGCTTAGGGGGGCATCCTATCTTGTTGAGCAGTGTTAAGGCTCCTTTTTGGCTGACAAGGTCAAAGACCATTGTCAGGTCTATGAAGGTGATATACAGGGGGCATCTCTGCTCTTGGTATTTCTACTGGCTCAGTGAGAAAATAATGTCAACTGCTGACCTAAACTCTAAAGATGCATTATGACTTGGGATAGGCCCTGTCAGTGAGTAACTGTAATCTGTTGAGAACTATGTGGGCAAAGACTTTCTCTACAGTACTCAGCAAGGAGATACTATGGTAGTTGTTACAATCATGGCAGTCATCTTTGTTATTATAGAGGGTCAGAATTCCTGGGTCGTGCAAGTCTTGTGGCACGGATCCTTTCCCCCAAATATTCCCATGTGAGGAGTGGGTCAAATTCAAAGTGCTATTTTTAATGTTCAAAGCTCAAAATGTCTTACTGCCAGGTTCCCTAAAGATCAACTCCTCTGACACTTACTTACACTGACCCTAGCACCTTTAGGAGTTCTTCTCAGGGTGCCAAATGAGGTATGGTGGGTGGCTGTCAGAGAAATGGCATTTTTATTGGTGACACCCGAATGCTCTCCCCAGAGAGACTCACCTGGGGCCTATGTTATGGTCTTCCTAGTAGCAGATGGCAACCTTTTTATTTTCCTGCTTTAAGACCTTAAGTGGCTTTACCTCAGTTGTGTGAGTGTAAGTTTTATTGTTGCTGGATTTACTTATTTATTTTAATACCATGGTAGGCTTTATTCCACTTAATTTTTATGGTTTTTAGTTTTTATTGTTAACTTCCCATAGGACATTGTTAATTGGGTGGTATACAAAGGATGCAAATCAATCAGTGGATCAATTTATATAGTCCTGGGTTTAACCACATGCTCATGGTGGTTGGATGAACATAGCAGTTGTGGCTTTATTACTATAGAATCAAGAGTGTGTGACGAACACCCACCTGAACTGCAATTTGTTTTCCCTTAGCAATTGGTTATTGCTACAGGCAGTGGTAACCCTAGCTCTCTTGTCTCTTTCCTCTCCTTTGCATATTTTTGACTCATGCTTCTTCCAAGAAGCTCAAGGATATTGTATCCTCACAATAAACCTGTAGATGTACTTTAAATTGCATATTTGTGATACAGGTTTATGTGAACTGATGTCATATCAGTGAGCAAGATCAGCCCTCATAATCGTGTAGTCGTGAGCAAGGTCAGCCCTCATAATCACATAGCTGTCTAGATTTGCATACAACCAGACTGAAAGTAAGTACATGATTCCTGGGGAGGGCAGTATGGTCAGTGTTCCTGCAGAATTTGAATGGACTGTCTCTTACTATGGTACCAATCTGCATGGCACAGTTAACAGCAAATAGATAGTATGGCTCTATGAAGCTGAGCGGTACATCAGCATGCGAGCTTCCTGGCACATTCCTGTTGAATGCTGGAATGTATAGGAAGCATACAGAAAAGGAAGCCCAGTGTGCCATTGTACAACCTTTCAGCCTTACACTTTGAGAAGCAAAGAGTGTACTTCTTTAGCTTGCTCCTCATTCTTCCATTGTGCAGCACAAATACTTGGGTATCAAACAAAATGCCAGAGATCAAACACATGATAATTCCCAAATAAATGCAACGTCTTTATGGAAGGCTCAATCTGTAGGCAATTAAGCCATACAACAACAGTATGCTAGGATTGCTAAATTTTGTACCCATCTTTGCAATCAAAATGAGGTCTAGTAATTAGAATTCTGAAGGTACCAGAACAGACATTCTGCAGTAAATTTGCCTACCATTGAAAGAAAAAGGCTGGATTCAATTATAAAGGTGGGTTAGCGGGAGCCAGTGCAAGGAGTTCTGCTAGTGCAATGGAACTTTCTCTCCTCTCCTCCCTCTGCATGCCCTGCAACCTAAATTGACTAAATGTGTGTTGGGAGAACCCCCAGAACAGCACAGGGAGAGGAGAGGGGAAATTGTTTCATTGGGCAAACTGAAATGCTTGTGCTGATGGAATGATTGGAAAAGTGTGATGATGAATTTCTCCCATAATGTTTGTGCTAAAATTGGATTGTAATTTAAATTGGATGGTAATTTGATTAATTGTAGGAATGCCATTAAAATGCATAATTATCAAAACAGATTTCAGAATAGCCTTTTTACCACAACACACTGACTGAACCTAGCAGAAGGGCCCCAGTTCCAAAACTAATCTATGCCTACTGAATTATTTTGAGATATCTAGTGGGCATCCAGGAAAAAATTGCAGATTATAAAACCAGTTTATTTCTGCATTGGGAATTGGGGAAGTTTCCTACTCCCTAATTACAAGCCACACCATTTGTACAATTCTTAAATGTCTTGTTCTATGTCTTATTTTCCTCTTGGCAATAATGGAGCAGCTGTATGCTGTTCACGTTTACAAGTCTAGATCAGATGTAACACTTGCTGAATTTAAGGGTTGCAATTGGGAGTATACTGTACCTCACTGATTTTCAGGCCACCATGTGGGAAAGCATTCCATACTCCTATTGAGGTGACTTTTCAAAGCAGAGAGGACTATTGCGGATGTGGCCCTTTCGTGCTGTCCAAACCACTGTGAGTTATGGCTTCTCCAGCCTCTAATTATGCAGTCAGCCCCCAGTCGCCTGTTCCTAACGAGGCTGACAGGCTAATCTCTCAAGAGCCCTTAATGTGTTATCATCTCTCGCTGGGTGACCTCATATTTCTAACTGCTTTGGTGGGGGGAGGAAGGAAAAGTGTCGTCTGCTCTCCCCCCTCAACATAAGCCCACATCCTCAGGCTCATCTGTTCAGGCAAGGGAGATCAGCCCATCCATCACCTACCCCGTTGGGCTATTAGATGATTAAAGGCATTTTTTATAATATTTGGGCGAGTTTTCAAAGCTTCTTGCAAAGTGTCTGATTAACACCCGTTTTAACCCCTCACTGGTCAGATTGCAAACCCCAGGAACAGGGGAGATGCACATGGGCAAGACTGTTAAGAGATGCCTGCCTTCAGCAGCATTTGTTTTGTCTGCTCATGCCCAGATCACTGACAAGGTGTGATTCATGGTCCCTGGACACCTGCAGGAAACAGTTCTTCCTTGCCAACTGGGACCTGGTGGTTTATGAGGTTTTAACGGTTCCAGGGGACAGGAAATGGGACCCTGGTTTGTTATGCAACAGGCTGTGCAGGCGCTGATTATGTCTCCTCTTGGTAGCAGATCCATTAGTTGCCCTTAGGAGCAGAGGGTCAGGATGGATTGCAGTTCTGTGGCCCAGCAAGGAAAGCAGCTTGAGATGTGAACACCACACAATCTTTGGCATTTTTTACCTTATTCACATGCTTACCCTTGTGCCCATTTCCTAGGTTCACCCACACCTCAGGTCACACATTCCTTCTAGATCTGTTCCTTTGGGGAGTTATCTGTTGCAGCTAAAGGCATGGAGACTGGGGAAGTGAGCCATGGGACAGAATTGTGCATGGTAGTGGTCTCTTTGTCTACCAGAGCCCCCTTTGAATTTGGAACTTTCTGCCAACTCTGCTCAGGTTTTTCTCTACATTGATTAAAGTTAAGGTACACAGGGTTGTGTACATATGTGATGCAGTTGCACAGCATGTATAGTCATGATTAAGGCCCTTTGCACGGAGGAAGTATAGACATTAAAGGGCACTGAGTAACAAACACAAAACAGAGTTCTGGAGTTAAAGGTTGATCATGTCTCAATTGCAAAAAGTGCCAATATTTTAAGAGAGAGGGTAGCTGACTTCTAAGAGAGAGGCTAGTTACTTGGGGAAAGGGTGGTTTTTCTGCTTCATGCTGTCTGTACATTAAAATGTGATGCCTACTCAAAGAGCATACAACTTTCTTTAACAGGTTTTTGAAGTGCAAAGTATATTAATTTGAACATTCTTTCTACAGTTTATCTAGCCTTCAAGGCAAATATTCTGATGGATGATACCTTATGGGAAGCTGTTAGTTGTTGGGGGCTTTTGAGAAATGGTCTATTCACAAATGTTCCTTTTGTGCTTTGTTTGTAAGACCCCAGCACTTGAAGCAGAAGCTTCAGATGCTTAATCCCATGACGCTTGCTGAGTTTGGAAAATCTCTGCTGTTAAATGTCACTTGCTCAGTTGTAGGAGTCAATTGATTGATTGTCGTCCTTTGTGATGCTCATTGTCATATTTCATAATCTCAATTTCTTGTCAATTGATTGCCAGATAGAAGCGACAGCCAAGGAGGGCCGCCAGCGTCTGCAGGGGCCAGCCAGCGCATGGCGTTAACTTTCCCTCTCTGTAAGTGTTCCCTTCTTTTATTACTGTTGTGGGGTGGTTCAGAAAATGAATAGAAGAATAGTTTGGGTAGATGATAATAGTCCTGGGGATAACTGTGCTGTTAGCATTATCAAACATGTCACATTTTTCAGGCAAGAAAAGAGAACATTTATTTTTAATAAAGGTGTTTTCTGGTGCTTGGCTGAGAATAGCACCTAGGAGTCCTGGCTCCCCAGCCCTCACTGCTCTAACTTCTAACTTCTAAAAAGAGCTGGGAATAAACTGAGCATTGTCTCGTCAGGGACAGTTAATTGTAATTTGTGTAGGCATGTTTTAAGGAAAATGTTATTATACAAAACAGAGACATTAGTCTAAATGTTGGTAGGGCTGAAAATTATGGGTGGAAACTACTTGCAAACTGTGTTCAGGTGGTAGGTGGGGTATATTATTGTTATGGGAGGTTCAACGCCATGTAGGCAAGCTGGATCAAAGCTCTGCCCTCTCCTCTTCTCACGCAGCTGGGAAGACTTCTGCCAAGATTACTTTCAGTTTCAGAAAATCTCATTTTAATGCTACACGTGAAGCAGGAATCTTGGTATTCAAACCACAGTTATCAGGACTGGCCCAAGGCATTTTGCTTCCTGAGGCAAAGGACAAGATGGTGCCTCCTCCTCTTCCACATACAGAAACCAGCTGGACTGGCAGCTGATCTTACTTCAACTGTATGACTGTATATCATCCTCCACTGTGCCTGAGGCAGCAGGCCAGGTTAGAGAGACAGTTTAATTTATACAGTTCTCTCCTCCAACAGAGGGGAAATGTCTGGTTTGAAGTTGTTTTGTTTAACAATGAACCAGTGTTCATTTAAAATCAGGATTCCTGGTTTGCACATTATGCTAAAATGAGATTATTTGAAAGAGAAATTTATGCCAGTAGAAATCCTCCTCCCAGCCATGAGGTGGTAGGGGAAGAAGGGAGTGGACAACCTGAATGCTTTGCTTGGGCTTGCTATGGTTCATCCATGGCACAGTTGCTAAACCATTGTTTACTGTTACCTACAAACCAGCCATTGCTTGGGTGGGTCAGACAAATAATTTATCCTGGATTAGACAGTTTATTTTTATCTATTTAATTCATAAAATTTATATACTGCTGAATAGCAGAAAAAATATCCAAGTGGTTTACAAAAAAAGATAAAACAATAAAATAATCACTTTGAAAATTGCAACCATAATTTAAAACATACAGGTTAATACCGCAATAAAAGAGACTGAAACCAATTAAAATTCTTACAAACTTTCTAAACATCTAAACAATGACTGTCAACAGATGCTACTGAAGATATGCAACTGCTTTGCAGTTATGTTAACTTAAGACTGTGTGTATTATGCTTATACAATGTTAATTCATGACTGTTTGTATTAGGCTTCTATTGGGCATTAGACCATACATAATTTGAATTCTACCATAGAACCTACAACAGAGAAAGCTGCTTATACTGAGTCAGACCATTGGTCCATCTAGCTCAGTATTGTCCACAGTTATGACTGGCAACTGCTCCCCAGTTTTTCAGAATGGAACTTTTCCCTAGCCCTACATAGAGAAGCTGGAGATTAAAACTGGGACCTTTTGTATGAAAAACAGATGCATTGCCGCTGATTTGTGGCCCTTCTCTTCAATTGCTCACCAAGAGCCTCAGCTTTTAATTTATTAATATCTATAGACTTCTGAGTTTCAGGAAAAACTTTGGAAATGTCTGATGAGAGCTTAGAATGCAATGGATGTTTTAAACAGGGCTTATAAGAACAGAGCTGCCCTTCTGCTCCTTGTTCCCCTGTCTTCTTCAGATTAATGTTACTCTTCTTTCTTTGCCCTGTGCCACAACCTTTCCATTGCTTACAACTTCTGAATGCAACAAAGCTCCATGTTATACAACAAGATTTACTTAATGCAGATTAATTGAGCAATCTGAATGCCTAATTTGCCATGCCAGGGGGGGATTGGGCTGGATCCCCTGAGGATTGCTGTCACGTAATGGCAATGGGTTTATTCCAGGCCTTTTTGCTGTGCCAGACATGAAGGTGGTGCAGTGAAGAGGCATTTCACCACCAGCAGCTTTTGACCTGGCGAGTGCAAACGGCAGGGCTGTGTTTGTGCTGCTGCTGCTGGCCAGGGCTTAAGACTGTAGCCTAAATCCTACACTGTGTGTAACCTATTTGTAAAACACAATTTCTACATGAACATGTGAAATGTGATTGATCCATTTATTACATTTAGAAGCCCACCCTTCACTAAGCATTGTCAGTCTTGTTTGAAGTGGGGGGGGGGGCTTCGTTCACTTGCCCCCTGTATTTGCATTTTACAATGAAAGCCACTGAAACCAGAATCTATTTGATGGTCTTCTCCCATAATTTAGGACATCTTTGGAAATTCCACCCCCATATTGTTCTGGTTGAAATTAGAGTGTGCGCACAAGACTAATAGGTAAACCGGTTTGGAGAGTGGCTGCTCAGATGGCTCCACAACCTGGTTCCGATGGCAGTGTTTTGTGTATCTTCCGCCTCCCCCCACCCCCCCACTCCAAACAACCTTTACTGGAAAGCATATGGAAAGGAGAGCAGCCGACCTTTGGCACATTTATTGACACTCCCAGAGTTCATACTGCAACTCTACAATCTTTCCCTGAGATTATTAAAAATTAATTGATCACTTTTATATCCCCCCACGGTGCCCGACACTGTCGCTGCGAGAGGGGCCAAGGGGAGGAGGGCGTGTGCAGGCGTAGCAAACACACTGATAAATGTTAATTACTCTTTTATGGCCCTTGTCAAATTCCAAAGCAAGTCATAAATTCATTAAACTCTAACGGATTAAGCACATGCAGCTTATTTAGCCGCCATAAACAAGATCATTTGTATGTTGGTTTTTCCTTTTTTATTGCTTCAGCAGCAAAAAGGAGAAAAAATTGACTCAGGAGCTCCTGATGGGTTTGAAAAGTTGGGCAGTTAATATCCTGCTGCTATTGTCTCTTATTATTTTGTATACATATAGCTATGTACAATTGATATTTGGCATGATAAATTATTACTGTCTTATTTCTGGATAACAAGAGATAATATAGTAATATACCTTTTAGAGAACCAAATTACATTGGTGAAAATTCATTCTGGCTTTCAAGTTCTTCAGCAACAAATAGATCCAACTCTTTTGCCAGTTGACATTGATCACAGTACAAAGCATGACCGCCACCTATTCTGTATCTCCCCTGTCAGTACACAATGTATAGTATCAATATAATATTATGGTAATTCTGGTAAAACATGCAGCCTTCTTTTATGAAATGGTTTCTGCTTGAATTGACCGCTTTGGAAGTATGCTCAGGAACACCACATTTTCTTAGGATTCAAAACAACAGTATTTTGACTCTATGGAAATAAGATGATTTCCTAAGCTGCAGCATGCATTACGCTACTACAGTCATAAATGTGGCCCCCAGAATGTCATGAGAACTTGTTGGATAGAACACCAGTCTCACTTAATTTCATTGACCTCAGAAGAAGAGATGTTCCTAATAAGAGAAATGAAAAGCTGAGGCAAAGGCACTTGATTGAACTTTCAGTCCATAAGACTGAAAGCTCAGGAACTCATTGTTCAGTGTTATATCCTACACAGCTTGGTTCTGGTCTCCTGGTCAACTAGTTGACTAGGTCTTCCTTAGAGGAGATATGGAGCACTGCAACAAAATAAGTTCAGTATACTTAAGCTCCAGCTACTGGAACAGTTGTCTCTGCAAATTCCCTGGAGTGTGGATTTTTAAGTACTGACAGGAGATACTGAAATGATACAGGATGGAACTTAGAGGTTCCAAAAGACAAGGGCTTGCTACTGAAAACAGCAGCTATTTGTTCAGGTCTCCCCTCCGCCTTAACATCTGGTACAGCTTATCCTGTGTCCTCCTGATAGCATTATGCTGCATTTTCCTGTCCCAGTTCTACACGCTTCTGCCACTGGTAGAACATTGGGACATGAGCAAAGTTGCATTACACATTATGGAAACAGAGTCGGCACAGGGCTGCCATTTTCAGAAGCAGACTTTTGTTCTTCCATAATGTGTTGTTCTGCTCTGAAATGTGACCATTCAAGTCACAGGGAGACTTGGATCAAGCCTCAGCTGATCCTCTTTGACACAAAAGTCAGTGGTGAGTCTAATTAGCACGCCACATTATAGAAATGTATGTGAAAAGTTCTAACATTCATACCCAAAATCACCCTGTCAACTCTGCTTTTTCAAGGCTGACAAAGAGCCCTTATTTTGCATGCCTCAAAGTCTCAACCCCCCAAAACAGTATGGTTGCCTGGAGTTGCAAACACCTTTAATTCTGTGCATGGCTGCCCCATGTGGTGAGCTATCAGAACTGCAGCTTTTAACATCTACATGGCAAAGTATTCTTAGGATTTAGACTGGCCCTATCTACCAAGGCTGGCCATTGTGTCCTAAGAAGGGCTCTCAAAGTCTTCCTGCTTGGCTTGGGCATTACTTGAGTAGCAAGCTCTTTCCGGCTCTCTTTCTTTTCGGTGTTTCTTGGCTCTTACTCCTTGGTTCAGCTCTTGGCCCTCAGTTAACCTATAACAGATCAGCTTTGACAGATCAATCTTAATTTAATTTTTTTACTGCAACAAAACATTATAGAACACATACAGGAATCTATTTTGCAAGACTGCAGATGTCAGTCAAAATGGTCAAAGTGCTGTCTTAGATAGACAGGACCACAACAGCCTATCATTACAACAAGTGAGATCTGGGGTGGTAGAGTGGCTAAAAGACTGGGGTTGCCATCCTAACCCACTTATCTGGGAGCAGATACCAATGAATTCAATATGACTTGCTTTTGAGTAGATATGGTTAGGGCTGTGCTGTGTGTGACTAATCAGAAAATTTTCAGTTCAAATCTCACTTTCCCCATGAACTGACTTGATTGCATTAGGCAAGTGATTCCCCCCTGCCCCCCATTTTCTGCAGC